AGAGAGAGAGAGAGAGAGAGAGAGAGAGAGAGAGAGAGAGAGAGAGTTCAACACTAAGGACTGGCCCAGGGGAAAGGAGCACATGAACAGTGAAAAGGGGCCAACTCAATAATGCAAATACTGGCTCATTAATGAACATTATACATAAATGAATAATGTTTTAACACTTGTGGCAGTGAGATAATAAAAGCTCTTCCATTTTTAGAAGCAATTTTTAACTCATCGAATGACTTATTTGCCAATTTTAACTTGACCAAACCTTGCATTCCCCGAATGCTTCTCCTGGTAAATTAGTCGTATGATATCGGATTGTTTTTAAATTAGTGAGATAATAGCTTCCACTCAAGCAGCAGACAGATAATTGTGATTACCGTTGACTTTAGGAAACACTGTGAAGATCTAAAAAAGATAATCTGCTCACCCAGAAATTTGTGTTTCAAAGTCCCTTAACAGAAGCAGCAGATGTTCCTTTTCCCTCAAAGTTAACTTGATTTCAGTTTTGAGACTTGAGAGTGGATCTAAAAATCCAAAAATGAGTTTTAGCTAAAGCTGATTTTGTGTCAGGTCAGCAATCCCAATTTCTCAGTCTTCAGTTCCACAGTAAATCTCAAATATATTTCACCGTAATCTTCCAATCTGTAACCCCTTCATAAATGTGAACAAGTCTGTCAAGGCGGGAAACAAGAAAGAAAACTCTCTTGATGGTGCCTGGAGATGCTCAACTGACAGGGTATATTAGAGTAGAACACAAAAATAAAGTGTGAAAACAGAGTGCACAACAGTGAGGATTAGAATTAAATATTGAACATCTTATATCCTCCAAAAAGTCCCCCACAGTTTGTCAGAGATTTATAATCAGTGCTTTAGAAATGGTTTCCATCTTATACACTTTCTAGAAAACTAACAGCTGCAACCAAAAGACAGTTGTGGCTCAAAGGTTTTCTATTTCAACCTTGGGTTCAATGTTACTGACAGAACCTCATGACTGTAAGAGGCCTTGTGTGCTTCAAAAGGTGGAGACACAATAAATAGAGGATTATGGTAATTATTTGTCAAATTAGGATTCTACACGTGTTTGTTATTCAGTTTGATACAGTACATGTTGAATGTTGATGACATAATGTGTGCTGATAAATTGCCGTATTATCAAGGCCCTGATAATTGACATGAAAAACATGTTCGACTTTTCACTGTCAACAAAATAACTCTATGTCATCAATGATGATAAAGGTCCTGAATTTGAGTTTCTTTCTCAAATAAAATCTTTTTTCACAGGTTTACTAGATTTAATATGCCAAGAGATTGTTATCCTTTTTTTGAGTGCCACATATTTCTACCACAATGGGATACAAAGCAAATTGGACTGGTTAATAAAATGCAATGCAACACACAATATGTTGATCCCATTGTTGGAAATCTGTTTTCTTCTAGCTCTGGGATAGTGCTCTTTTCCAAAAGTGGAATGTTTTCATTTGTGACCTGTACATATTATGCTTTATCTGTTTTTTCTTCCCTCTAGTGTGTAATAGCTTTGTGTATATGTTAAAGGCCCAAGAGTGAAAAGGCCTAAAGTCAAGTGTGCTCCTCTCCCCCACAGAAAACACAGCTCCTGAGGTTCCTGAAACCAAGAGGCTGAAGAGAGGAGCTGCAGCAATGAACAGTATGAGGAGAGTGATGCATTTTCTGAACATTAAACCTTTTTCAAATTCCAAAAACTAATTAAAATCCTGAACCTAAATATGAGCATAATACAGTGTGCCTCCTGTGTTGTAATGATGTACAGCTTACTTTTATTATTATTCACTGGTGGTTTAAATAAGTAATGGAAAACATGCTGGGAGATGTTGCAGTTAAATTGTATTGATTTGAGTTTTTTTTATGTTTCTGTGTGAGCTTACAGCACTGCTGTGGGGTTCGGTTGTTACGGACCAGAACCTTCTGGTTTCCAGCACGAAACAGTCTCGTCCAGTTGACAGTGTTGTAGTAGCAAAGCTGACTGTTCTCAGCAATGTGGACGTTCCCGGCGCTGATCTCTCCTAGAGACTGCAGCTGCAGTGATGAGATGCCCTGCTGCTTCAACACCAGCAGGGAGATTCCACTGAGAGGGAGGAAAGGCAGAAGGAGGACCACAAGAGAAGTACAACGGATGAGACGGAACAGGAAAAGGGGAAAAAAAGAAAGGAGCAAGAGTGAAGAGGAGGGAGGGAAGGAAAAGATGGTTTTAATTCTCAGTGGATGATGCTTGGGTCAGTATTCTGGGATAAATTCATGTTTTTAACATGTGATTGTATTAAATTTAAAATTGTTGAAACTGTTTTTGTTCAATATTCTGGAATTTAGATT